TATATATGTATATATATGTATATGTATATATATATATATAAGCTTTAATGGTTTTGTTTCTCTAGAGAACCAGTCAGTCTAACACACCATATATAAGCAGTAGCTTTGGGAATGGTCTTGAGCTTATGGCACACTTGAACCCTGCAGGTAGCCAAGTCATTGTTCAGCAGCCTGCCATGCTCTGCTGATCTTGGGACTTTCAATGGACTTGAATCAATGGCCTGGTGTCTTGTTTGGTAACAATGGGACTGTGCTTTTTCACCTGTTGACCTCACTCAGCCTCAGCAGGCAGTAGCTGACTAAGCGAAGAGATGCTTCTAGCTTCAGTCACCTGGGAGCAAGAGGCAGAGCTGAAGTCCAAGGTCGAGGGGCTTTCACCCAGGCCCTAGAGCCTGGCACTATGAACTCTGACTTCTAGCCTCCAAAACTATAAGAAAATAAACTGTTTGTAAAAGCCATCCCATTTGTGGTATTTCTATTAGAGTGGCACAGAGGTAACCAAAACAGGGATTTTTGTGAAAATCAACATGAAATAGCAAACAACAAAGGACACCCATTAAAACGTATTCTCAAGTAAAAATCATCAAGGACCAGCTAGGATAAGAAAAAGAGTGGGAAATCATGAGGACAGTTCAACTTCAGAGAGGAGACATTTGGCACATAGCACATTCCCCACAAACTCAGCACTATGCCCCCTCTTTCAGTCAGAGGCTGCCATGCTCACGAAAGGCCCGACATACTCACCTCTCGGCCAGTCTCAACTACTAACTTGACAGGACCCAAATTTTATTATTTTTTTAAAAGATATAAAGTCTTGAACATAGTCATCAAATTCTAATGCTTGTACTAAATATAAGACCTAAATATATGGAAATTATTTTTACTGAAATTAGTTCTTTGTACTCACCTGAGAAAAAGACACTGTTGTATTCTGATAATGTGAATGTATTTGGAAAATAAGAAAAGTTACATTGCTGGAAATATGATGCACAACAGCTTCCTCTATAAAGGACCTTTTGAGCACGAAGTATCTAAATTCCCCCAAAGAAAATTCAAGACCTACAATGGGAAGAATTTTTCATTATAATGTGTACCTTTAATATCAGTTTGCAGAAATTACACAGGCAAACATCTGTGAAACACTAATTTAATCCCTAGAAAAGACAATTGAGGTAAATATTATTGTTGCTCCTATTTTACAGATGAAGATGTGAAGCATGCTACCCAGTCACTGAGCTAGCAAGCACTGGAGCTGAGAGCTAAAAAAGAAAGTTATTTCAAAACATAACGAACAACATTTAAAATGGTGAGGATTCTCAAGGTGCCTAGCTCTCAGGGCCCAGAAAAATTCCCTATCTGGTAGCAGAGATAACAGTTCCTCTGAATTTAAAGATTAACAGCCCTAAGGGGTTACCAAGAATCAGGACTATGCAGATACTGAAGACACCACACTAGTACCTGGGCAAATTCTGAAGCCAGTCCAGGCTGGAGAGACTGAGGTGGCTTTAATTTAATCCCAATTTAATTACCAGGTGTGAGACTTCAGGCAAGTTACTAAGTATTTTAAGAGTCAATTTCCTCATCTGTCAAATGGGATTGTACTACCTAGCTTGCAAAGGTGCCATAAACATTGGACAGTGCTCGTGCCAGATGCTTTACATACAATCATGAATCACAGGCATTCTGAAAAAAGAGTTTTGTTTAAAGGCTTAAGTTCAAAGTCCACATAAAAGACAGGTTACAACAAGAATAGTTTCCCAACACCCCATCTAGGCCTCTCCCATCTGTACACTGGTCTCCCAGGTCTGGTTGTGTTTGATTCACTCACTCTGTCCATGGTTCTCTGTGTGTCTTTCTGGTCAGCTGTACATCACCTCTTTCATTTTCCAATCCAATTCTCAAAGAATCCACTAAATTAAGTTGCTTTTACTTCTATGGAGTTCTTGATTCCCCACCCCACCCATTCTCCACCCTAGACTCGGTACGTATCTGCATAAAAACCAGAAGAGTTCCTAAGGATTTTTCCCAAGCACTGTCAGGGGTTCAAATCCAGAAAAAGAAAAAAAGATTTAAATTTAATATGGATGAAAAGCAGTTAATGAGGAAAAGATTATAATTCACTAGAGTTCCACAGCAGAAATATCACGTTTAATTTTAGGAGGAAATTATAGTCAGTTACTGATAAAAGAAAAACACTTCAGAGACTAAATAGCTTTATAACATTTTTATGTACCAAGTCTCGAGAAGGCCAATTTTCAACACTTTAAAAAAAAAACACATTTGGATGATTAAAAAGGAAAAAAAAAAAAAAGACTATTAAAAATGGTCAAGTTGCTTGCAAGCAGCCATCTAGATGCAACAATGGGTCTCTCCTCATCCAGAATGAAGAAAACTAAATATGCATGGCAACAATTAATTCAAACCATCAGTAGACCAGTGGCTGGTACACTAGTAGCTGATGACCAAAGGAGGAGACAGCAAAGAAGGAGATAAATTGAGCTATGGACTTTCGACTGTCCAGAGGTTCAGCCATTTTTAATGTTTACAAATAGTGACCATTTTGGATATTTAAAGCGACAGTCTTCAGATTCCAGGGATCTAAAAATAGGCTCCACTTCTGAGGACAGCATGGACATACCAGAGGCTGACGAATGGAAAGCTAGTAGAGATCTGAGTACCCACTCTCATTCTCTATCATACCCACCAGCATACAGGTGGTGAGTGCATAAGTAGTGCCAACTAACAAATAGAGTAACACAATACCCTTTTTACTCAGATACATCCAAACAAAACAAAGAAAACTAAAATCTTCGGTGAATCACTCTACATACAATCACCAATTAAGTATAAATACAACAATGTCAATGTCACAATGTCTCAGAGACAACAGACCATCACAGACCACACAAAGCAGTAAGACAAAGCAGTAGAAATAAGGGACCAGGATACAGACCCAGAACACATCCCTGAAGAAGCAGCAGCACTAGAACTCCCTGATAAGGAATTCAAAAGAATTATATTTAGGTGCCTTCAAAAGATTGAGAGAAAGATCAAAGAAAACACTGATAAAATGGAGGAAAACACAGAGAAAACCCTAGAACAATTTTGAAAGACAATACAAGAACAAAATGGAAAAAAAAAAAAAATTAGAAATGATACAAAATCTACACACAGAAATCAGAGTATTAATACTAAATTTTCAGAAATAGATAACACATTGAACAGGCAAAGGAGCAGAATTGAATCAATGGAAAAAAGAAATAGTGAGATTGAAAACAAATACCTCAAACTTCTTTGGAAAGGGATCAATCAGAAAAAAGATCAAAACAAAATGAAAGCCTAAGGTTCATGTGGGATACCATCAAGAGGAATAACCTATATGTAACTGGAATGCCAGAACAGGAAAAGACAAAAAACCCACAGAGAATATTGCCAAAGATTTATTGGAAGAGAATTTCCCTAATATGATCAAAAATGACAACATATCCATTCAAGAAGTCCAACGAACCCCAAATAGGAAAGATCCCAAAAGAATATCACCAAGACATATCACCACTAA